GATTATGTTTATTATGTATTTTACACTCAATTCATTAAGGTCCTGTTCCAACTGAATTATTTAAAAATGCTATTCTTGTTTATTTTGTTGTACTGTGATGAATGTCTTAACAATTGATAAATTACCTTATTCTGTTCTTTAAATATATGACAACAGCATTCAGTCGTGCAGTGATTCCAAACTAGGGATAATTTTACCCCCAGGGGACATTTGGTAAGGTCTAAAGACATTTTTAACTGTCACAATTTAGGGGAGGTGTTACTGATATCTAGTGGGAAGAGGCCAAGGATCCTATGGTGCACAAGACAGCTCTCATAAACAAAAATTAACCAGTACAAAATGTAAATAATTGTAGTATAAGCTAAAAGCCTGATATAGTGAATAAGAGTGATAACCCTGCAGCAAGAATGCCTTGGTTCAAATCCAGTTTCACTACTTACTAGTTGTGTAGACTAACCTTGGGCAAACTGACCTCTGTGCCTGTTTCCTCATCTCAAACTGGGTGACAGAGTACTCAACTCACAAGAACACAATGAAGAGTAAATAGGAATGTGCTGTAGCTCTTAAGTTAATTTAAAAAACCAGTGAATGACTACAGCAAGTTAAAGTGCACGCATAACAGGCAGTCAATCCCTTTTGACCTGTTCTCCTTTTCAAATATTAAGACATACTGACATTTCCCACCTTAACTTGTATTTAATATCACCCTCCATTTATCTAGTCATAACTGTAACAGTTGTAATCAGACACTAACCTAGTCTCCTACACTTATATTCTGCCACTATGCCAATAAACCAAAAGCAGTTTACTTATCTTCTGAAGAAAATATGAAAGTTTTTTTTACTGTATAGAGTATACTCAGGGGTTTGAAAAATAGAGCATTAGCTCCCCCCTTGAAAATCTTACTCTTTGCTGTTTATTTTATATTACCCCCAAGTATAAAGAACATGTTTCTTTAGTTCTAGAACAAATATAGATAATTTAGATAACCATGGTATAAGGCATCTTACATAATTTAATCTGATCCCATTTTAAAACTGAATACTGAAGCTCAGAACTTGCCAATTTGCATAACTGCACAACCAGCTGCAGAAATAGATATGTAAGTAGAAGCTTCCTACCTCTTCTTTTGTATACACATAGGGCAATGGACAGAATACTGCCTGATAATGATTATTATTCTTGCTTCAAATAGAAATTACCCACTTTCATCCTTATAAATCAACCTGAGGTCCAATGCACAAAATTCGTACAAGAATAGGCTTTTGCAGCCCAACTTCCATCTGGAAGGTTATCTGGAAGTTCATTCCACTATTCAGTCATTCAATTGATTTGCATATTATGCTTTTATTATTAAGATTATTATAGATTACCAACCAATATTTTTATAATTACAAACTTCTTTCTTACCCAGGTAAGTTTCCTTCACTGTCTTAATAAGCAAATATCCTTTTATAGGTGTTCTAAAAAGATCCAATTAATATAAATTACAGACATTTTCTCAACTTAATAACTGTTTGCTTATTTAACTGCACTCTATTTCATTTTTCAAAGCCCACATACAATATGAAATCTTTGGGGTAGCAACAGGCACTAAGTATTGGTAAAGAAGCCTGTTTCTTCTAGTACAAAGGTGGAGACTTAATATTCCCTTCTTCTGAGAAAAGAATCTCCACCCTTTTAATAAAATATATTAAGACTTCTGGACAGCTAATACTTAAACATATTCAGGTACACATTTTGTAAAATACAGGAAGGAATATTTTCACTTATATAAATTCCAATTATTTAGAGTTATGATTATTTTCACATTATGGTCACTAGTAAGAGCTAAATAAACATTTCTTGAGATTCTTGGCATTTCTCTGCCTCAAAGCTTTCAAGTACGTCTTCTTTAAAAGGTAAAGACATGTTACAGATCTAACAGGTTTGAGCAACACCTATTATTCATCAGTTAATCTACTAACAATTAAAATTTATATTTTTACTTACATTTGATTCTTTGCTGCTTGCCTCTGAGCTTTTCTTTCTTTCCTTTTCTGATCTGGTGGCTTAGCAAAAACAATTTCAATATTTTCTCCTTCCAAGTCTTTGCCATTCATTTCTTCCATAGCCTTAAAAAAATTAGACAGTCATCAATATGAAGCCTTCAAAAACAATTTTGATGCATTTAAATTAAAAAATCATTTACCATTAACATTAAAAGATTAAATAGGTTAGATTTTATTTAAAGATCCAGCTCTTCAACTGATTGTCTTTAGTTTAGTGAATTACACAATTTGCTAAGGACAATAAATTATGAACAGATTACCTGATAAATTTTTCTTCCATTTTTAAAAAATATTCTGATTCTAGGATAAAAGTCTACTTTAGATGCCTGTTTTAATTGCCCCACAGTTATTTACCTTGACAGCACCATCTCGCTCATCAAAATGAATAAAAGCATAATCTTTTAGTTTCTTCACTCGTTCCAGTTTCCCAAACTGACTAAATGCCTTTTCTAAAATCTCTTCTGTTACAGTATTGGCAAGGTTGCGTACAAACAGCACTTTTACCTGAAATTTAAGAAAAAAACAAACTTCCTGTATATTTCTGAAGAGTTCAATTTTCAAAATGCTACCACCCATCCTGCAAAGTTAACTTTAGTCACAATCCATTAGAATATAAAAAATATTTTTAGAAGACTTATATTTTCAACTCATTTGGGTATAAACCAAGGAACTTGACTACTGGGCAAAAAAACTGTACATCTCACCAAAGAACATTTACAGAAGTCAAATAGGCATATGATGAGATGCTCAACATCATGTCATTAGAGAATTACAAATTAAAACAGTAAGATACCATTACACACTTACTATAATGGCCAAAACTCAAAACTTTACCACCACCAAATGCTGTTGAGGATATGAAGAAACAGGAACATTGTTGGTGGGAAGGCAAAATAGAATAGCCAATTTGCAGAGCAGCTACTTAGAAAACTAAGCATACTTTTACCATATGACCCTGCAAATTACACTCATAATTTACGTAAATGAGTTGAAACCACATCCACACAAAAACATGCATGTAGACATGTACAGCAGCTTTATTCCTAATTGCCAAAATCTGTAAACAAGAAATCCTTTTGTAGGTGAATGGATAAACTGTGGTATATTCAGATAATGAAATATCATTCAGTGTTAAGAGAAATGAGCCAAGCCATGAAAACATGGAGAAAACAAATGTATATACCTAAAAGAAGGTAAGCTTAAAAGCTATATACTGTATGAGTCCAACTACCATATATGACAATTATATTAATAATTGCCAGTAGTTAGAAGGGAGGAAAGAATGAATGGGCAGATCAAGGAGATTCCTAAGGCAGTGAAACTATTCTGTATGATACTACAGTGGTAAATATAGAGTGATACATTCGTTAAATCCGAAGAATGTACAAACACCAAGAGCAAATTCTAATGCAACCTATGGATTTTTAGTTATAAAAGACCACATACTCACTAAATTAGACATTATTTTGCAACCAAATGGAAATGGTTATGTCCTAACAATGTGAATACCATGTCCTCTGAGATGGCTGTTGACCATTTAACAATTAACACAGTCAAAACTAAGTAAGACCTGCTTTTAAAATCTCCTTAGCTAAACGGGAGGGTGAGTCCTCAAAATATTAAGATAAAGTCTTTCAATCCTGGAAGCTCTTAACAGTATAATTATAAAATGTGATCTTTTTAGCTAAGGAACATTATCACTTGCTTCTAAAATACTTGAAATAGCATCCATATTTCTTTATCTGAAGTGCTAACCCATTGAGAACTTAATAGCCAGATGAAAAAAGAATCCTAGGTAATTTCTGTCCTCTAAACACTTATCCTTTCTTAATATTCACAGTTCTGGCATTTTACTAGTGTCTTGATTTTAGGGAAATTCTTAAAAGTCCCAGGTTCAATTCCAGTCAAGGGCAAGTACCTTGATAGAAGGCACATCCCCAGTAGGGGCCGTGCAGGAGGCAACTGATCGATGTTTCTAACTATATCCCTCACCCACCCTCTCCATTAAATAAATAAACAAATAAACAAATAAATAAATAAATAAATAAATAAATATTTTTTAAAAATATATAGATATATAGATATATTTTTAAAAAGACAAAGGGTACAAAAACCTAACTGCAAAGTACATTACTGAATAAAAGATTAATTCAAGAGATGTTGGTTCTCATAAGATGTCTCAACTGACTGCTGAAGCAAGATACCTAATAATAGCTAAACCTTGTAACTGCAGCAGCTCTGCTAAAGCCAATACAGTTCACTATTTTTAGGAGTAGGACTTCTGACCAAAAACCAGGTAAACTAATGGCACCATTCTCAAAAACTCAAGGAAATTACTCTTAGAATCCACACAAAAATGGAAGTAAACTGCCCTAGCTGGTTTGGCTCAGTGGACAGAGCATCAGCCTGCAGACGGAAAAGTCCCAGGTTCGACTGCAATCAGGGGCACATGCCTGGGTTGCAGGCTTGATCCCCATTATGGGACGTGCAGGAGGCAGCCAATCAATGGTTCTCTCATCATTGATGTTTCTATCTCTCTTTCCCTCTCCCTTCCTCTCTGAAATCAAAGATACATTTAAAAAAAAAAAAAAAGTGGAAGTAAACTATTTCCACAGCCATGTATAGCCAACTACTTCATCATGAACATGACAACTACACAGTTATAACCAAGTGCTCCATCAACAATTTCTATACTCACTTTTCATGCATGATATTTATTCTTAATAAAGAACACTTCTTTAAAAAAAAAAAAAAAGTTTAAATAAAATACACAATAATTTTATAAGTCATTCCTCTCCCACCCCCTCCCATCTCTAAAACCTTTCCCCCCACTCCCAATTACCAACCCCTTTTAAATGTTTTAAAATTGACTGTCATTACCTTTGCCATAACCTCGGGATCAGGATCTTCTATAGGATCGGCCCATTCAACAGTTCCAACATTTCCCCAAACCTTGACTTTACCACTCATTAACCTACGCCTTGCCTGAGCAGCTGTTTTGTGATCCTCATATTCAAGAAAACAAAAGCCTCTGTTTTTTTTCTTGTCGTCTGGTTGATGGTATAAAATGACGTCTGTAAGACCCTCTGAAAGTAAGTAACCATTCCAGAGAAATTAGATAAAATAACAAGTAGATCAAGTGATTTATTTTTCTAATAATACATGAATATCAAATTTTTTTTAAAAATCACTTATCTTTATATGGGACTCACCAGATAATTTATCTTTGCAGAACACTTTATAAGTGTTCAAAAATGGGTGTGTGTGTGTGTGTGTGTGTGTAATTAGAGCTAAGGACAAATCTCCTTCCATTAATGAGGCATAAAATCTTTACATAGCTGCTTTAGGAAAATGGCAATATGAGTCAGATATGGTTACATTTTTCTTATACAAATATACACCTCAATTTTCTAAAATTACTCTTTTCTAGTCTCAGATATTAATTAGCTTTTTTTAAAAAAAAGAAAATAGGATATATTAATTATTACATAAGAATTTGAAGCCGAAACCGGTTTGGCTCAATGGATAGAGCGTCGGCCTGTGGACTGAAAAGTCCCAGGTTCAATTCTGGTCAAGGGCATGTACCTTGGTTGCAGGAACATCCCCAGTAGGGGGTGTGCAAGAGGCAGCTGATCGATGATTCTCTCTCATCGATGTTTCTATTATCTCTCTCTTCTTCTCTGTAAAAAAATCAATAAAATATATTTTTTTTTTTATTAAATTTTCCAGTCAAAGCCGGTTTGGCTCAGTGGTAGAGCATCGGTCTGCGGACTGAAAGGTCCCAGGTTCGATTCCAGTCAAGGGCATGTACATTGGTTACGGGCACATCCCTGGTAGGAGGTGTGCAAAAGGCAGCTGGTCAATGTTTCTCTCTCATCGATCTTTCTAGTTCTCTCTCCCTCTCTCCCTTCCTCTCTATAAGAAAATCAATAAAATATATTTATTTAAAAAAAAATTTTTTCCTAAAAGTTCCTAGAGATTAATGACTGATAATTTGTTCAACATTCTAGGAAGACAAAAATGTTAATGAAAGCACCCAGTCATTTAGATTGTAAAAAATTGCTTTACAGCTCAAAGAAATAGTACAATACTGATAATATATAATCTCTGCTTATAGCAAGAGTTTCTATATAATAAAAGCCTAATATGCAAATTGTCCCCTGGAGCAGGAGCTCAACCAGGGGACAGGGCCAATTGGCCAACTGCCCAAGTCCCACTTACCCTTCCCCTCTTCTTCCCGCCCCAGCCCAGTGGGGGGAAGGTAGGCCCCAGCCCGCAGCCACTAGAAACCCTACCCATGTGCAAATTTCATGCACTGGGCCTCTAGTTATTCCTATAATGTGGAAAAGTCAAATTGTTACACATCTAACAACTCTACTAAGTGTCAACTACCAAAAATAAAATAAAAATGCTATCACAAGAAAAAAAAAAAAAGTGTCAACTACCACCTAAAAATGAATACAAACACACTAAGAAATATAATTTTTCAAAACAAGATGTACAACGATTCATTCTGCAGATAGTTCAAATCCCAGTTACATTCCTTAGTAACTACATAACATTCAGCAAATTATTTCCCTAAACGCTTTGTACCTGTTTTCCTTATCTGAAAATGTCACCTATCTCACCCTGGCCAGTATGGCTCAGTGGACAGAACATTGGCCCCTCGCAAGGAAGGGTGATGGGTTAGATTCCTGGTCAATAGCACGTACCTAGGTTGCAGGTTCAATACCCAACACGTGCAGGAGTCAACCAATTGATGTGTCTCTCTCACATTGATGTTTCTCCTTCTCCCTCCTCAGCCCTTCTTAAAAAAAAATGGAAAAAATATCCTCTATTGAGGATAAAATAAAAAATAAAAAGTTACCTATCTCATATGGTTATAGTGAGAATACAATGAGTCAATAACTGAAGTGTTTAACATAGTGTTCGCCACATAGAAGTATGCATTTACCTTCAGTATTAAAAGTTGCATCTCCTTCCAAATAAATCCAACTTACCTGTTACTTTGCTAAATTCTTCAAGAATCTGTTCCTTGGTTTTACTCTTAGGAATAGAGCCCACAAAAAGCCTATTGTTGGCAACCGAGATGCAGACACCAATGTGTTTTCCAGAACGAATTTCATGATTATTATACTGAAAGGGGAAAAAGTACACCTGTTTTTAAAATACTCATAATATTCAGTAAGTGTTCATTGTAGAAAGATATGCACATCCCATACACAAATACAAAGTCTTTTAAACAAATTAAAATGTCAACACTATGTTTCTCAAGAATTTGTCCTTTAAAAAGTAGTTATACCCAACTGACATGGCTCAATGGATGAGCATCGACCTATAAACCAGGGACAGATATGAAGATTATACTGCTAAAACACAATTAACAATTTTTGAATTAAATTAATGCAAAAAAAAAACTGTCAAGACCTTGAAATTTGGAACTCAAGTCTAAAAGGGAGAATCTTGTTAGTCTGAATTCAACTCTACTCCCCAACCCCAGTTCAATTTTATTAAGCCTGCAATAAAGTTGAAGGAAAAATAACTAAACAGATTATAGTAAAAGTACAGTAGTAACTACAAAACTATGGCAAAAAATAAACCTTCTCGTAACTATATCCTATAGAAGAGTGAAATATTATAGAGATAAAACCCAATCGTCAGTGACAAATATACCAATCCGTGTTAATTACCAACCAAAGTTCAAAAGTATTCAAGTTATCTGGAAAAGTGGATTATATAAATTACATAGTAAAAACCACATAAAAATTTCAAGGTAGTAGCAAACTTGAAGTTATAAAGGGGATTCTGGGAAGTAGAGAATCTGCTTTACATTGCAGATGAGAAAAGAGGTGAGGGCAATGGCAAGATGACGACAGTCTAGTACTGTATACCTTGTTTAAACTCAGTAACCATAAATCTCTTTTACTCATATTGAACTGCCAAATAAAGATACTTGAATGTTAAAAAAAAAAAAAAAAAATTTCAAGGTAGTAATAATGGTGCCAGAGGCAAAAATAATTATTGATTAATCCTCCTCCACATCTGGCCTCAATATCTACCTTAATTGACATACAAGTGAAGCTATACAAACTAAAGAATCAACATGAATTTTCATATAATTTATTGACCAGCATGGTGGCAAAAATAAAACCACTTTTTCCCTATTATCCCCATTCTTAAATAACAGGTATATGAAAAGCATGCATTAAAACAGAAAACATCTCTCCCTATCCCTTTCCCCATCTCCAGATATTTAAATTTTAACATAATGCTCAAACACCCTTCCTTCAGTTCATAACAGTTATACTTCCAAACTCACCACTCCATTCACTCTACACAAGTCTGTGGTCACTATGACCCCAGGATTCTCTCTTCTTATTCCAGAGACATTTTTTTCCCCAAATAATTTTTTGCCTATTGAAAAAAACTCTCTCAAAGGCTTCCGATTACCAAAAAGATAAAGTTCAAATAACTGCACATTGTAAGTCCATCCTAAAATGCCTTAATCTCCACAATCTTAGCTATTTACATACTTTCCGGCGTATAAGACGACTTTTGAAACGAAAATCAGGGCAAAAGACCAAAATTGCACAAAAATTACCTGTAGATCTTGACGGCAAAGTAAGTCCTTTCTTTGAAGTGGGGGGTAATCTTATACAGCGAATATAGGCCTAAACCTATGTTTTAACTGTAAAATTAGGGGGTCGTCTTATACACCGGAAAATACAATAATTTCTCAAGCAACTTTCATCCTAATCAAGCCTCTGAATAAAATGCTTTTCCTGAAACTTCCACCATCCAAACTCCTCTGCATACTTGTAGATTTGAGCTCAACCATCAGAATACCCTACATACCTAAATCCTATAAAGGTCAACAAAAGCACTCTTCTATTTTAACATAGACCAATAGTTCTCAACAGGAGTGATTTTTTTATTCCCAGGATATTTAACAATGTCTAGAGACTATTTTGGTTGTCAACTAGGATTGGGAGGGTTGCTGTTGGTATTTAGTGGACAGGTAGAGGTCAGAGATATTACTAAACATATTGCAATTCACAGGATAGTCCATCATTAAGAATTATCTGCTCCATGAGGCTGAAAAAAAATGGCACAGACCGTTCTCACAATATTTACATTATATTTATAGCAAAAACCTCTTAAAAGTAGAAATATATGGGTTATCTGCAAATAGTAGTTATGGCTGAATCCATCATTGCATGAGATTATAGACAATATCCTATTTCACAAATAAGTTCACCTAATACAATAAATTGTTTTCAACTGTGTATATTTCCTAGATTTTTATAATCTAGTATCAAATAGGTTAGTGCAAATCAATGGCTTTCAATTTGGTCATTTCATCTTTTTTAACTCCAGGAGTTAACAAAAACAATTAAAATACAAAAAAAGGGGGGGAGGGGACTTAGAAGTGTTTAAAGGGAGAAACAGGAATTATTTTGAAGATGACACGATTTGGTATAGCTTTCCCTTTTATTTTTTGTTCCCCAAATGTTCTAAGAGCAGGAACTGTTTAAGAAAATACTTAATTTTATTTAAAAAATTTTAATTACTGTTTATATCACTTCCATCAATATCTACAATGCTGCTTCAAAGTAGTAATGTTCCTATTATTATGGACAGAAGAAAAAGTTGTTCCCTCCCCCAACTAATTATCATGAGCCTTGCTTTGTTTAATCAAGGCAGTGTGGGCAAAGGTATGTTAAGGATGGCTATTGTCTCTGAACAATATAAATGACATGAAGATTTAGCAGGATTTATAAAATAAACTATAACTCTTCATGTTATTTTACTTAAAAAAAAAAAAAAAAAAAAAAAAAGACTTGCAACTATGACAGCTAGCCTATAGAGTAAACTGGCTCTCCAGTGAAATTAAGTCACTAAGAAACAAAAATTCTCTGAGCATATTGTTCAAGTAAAGCAAAGGTATTAGAAATAAACATTTCTTTAAACAATGTCCAATTTCCCACACACAGATTAAACATGCCCTTTCATATATATACATATATATGAATTGCTTAACTTTTCTAATTTTTCAGTTTTAAAGACCAATCAATTTAAATTCAAAAATAAACTTCACATCCCAGCTGGCTGACAGTGAGTTAGATAGTAGAAAGGCATTACAAAAATCTCTCCTTAAGAGAGATTCTAATTTGCTGATAAAATCTAATTCTCAAGTATTAGTATATCAGGACACTATGATGGTTTCATAATTTTTAAAAAGTGAGTTCTTTCTAAACTCTTCTAGAAAAATGGGCACTGATTTTAAGTTTTAAAATCTAGCCTTCAGATCCAGTACCACAATGAGGTGACAAAATAAAATAAAGATCAATTTTGAACATTAATCAATGCAGTTTCAGTATTTCAAACACCAAAATAGTTGTATGGTCTGGAACATTTCTATCATCTAGGCTCAAAATAATAAGTAATTTTTTCCTATCCTCATAACCAGTTACAAATCCCAAGAAATTTAGCAATCTCAAATTTGGAATCTGATCTAGAAGTGGATGCCCAGTCCTAAACTCTTCTTATAGCAGCAAAGCCATTACCTGCAAGCTTATCTACTTTATTTTTAAATATTTGATTACAAAAAAGTCTTCTTTACACACTTAACCAAAATTTATTTCACCAAAAATTCTACAGTAACTCTATTTCCTCCCCCAAATGACAGCACTTTATCTGCACACAATGCTGAAGACTCAATTGTTCTCTATATGCTCAATAATCACTCCTTCGCCAAAACTGGTTTGGCTCAGTGGATAGAGCCTAGGCCTGTGGACTGAAAGGGCCCGGGTTCGATTCCGGTCAAGGGCATGTACCTTGGTTGCGGGCACATCCCAGTAGGGGGTGTGCAAGAGGCAGCTGATCGATGATTCTCTCTCATCGATGTTTCTAACTCTCTATCCCTCTCCCTTCCTCTCTGTAAAAAAAAAAAAAAAAAAAAAAATATATATATATATATATATATATATATATATATATATATATCACTCCTTCCCTGATATTGGCAAACTAAAGTACCCCCTATAGTGTCACCAAATAGTGACACCCATAACATATTGTAGATGCAGACTGAGACTGATTTTATAATAAACTGGAGACTATTACTAACCTTCCATTTCTAGACACCATGCCTCTGTAATATGTAGTCTATGATTACCTTAGCTTATTTGGCAACTAAACCACACTGCTGACTCACACTACAGCTTCAATGTGATATTAGTTGTATACAACTTGTCTTTTGTCCTCACTCAATTCCATCTTGCTGGTGTGAACTATCTGTCCACCAAAATCTTTTGAGATCCTGATATTGTCATCCAGGCCTTTTATCACTTCATGCAGACTCAAATCACCAAATATGACAAGGGCAGTCGAACTATGCCCTCATTTGCATCACTGAAAAAAAAAAATTAGAACCAACGATACATAATTAACTATCATATCTCCCTTCAAAATCTTTAATCTCTCCTTCATATTGTTGACTCTCTCCTGGCTTTTGTTTTCTTCACCCAAACATCCTTCACTGTTCTGCCACTTATTTCATGCTACCCATACCATGGCTCAACATTTTAATTGTACCATGCAACTTAACCCAGCAATCATGACTAATGCTTTCTGGCACTGACTTTATACAAGTTTCATCTCCTCCTCCTTTCCACCAAACACACTGCTTTAACTAGACTCAATATTTCCTTCATCATCTTGATCAAGCCTCATCATCACAAAACCTTCTCTAAGCAATATATCCTTTCATCCTTCAGTTAACTTGTATGCCCATAATAAAAATTTTCATGGTAAGTCCACTAAATATTTGCTAAATTGCTACTAAAATATTTTTGTGGAGCTATCTTGTCAGCTGCATTCATCAAAATGACTGTGCACATGTTCTAGTAGTATAAAACCACTTTGGTAAATAAAACCATCAGTAGCTATAAAACCATAAATTTTAATATACAAATAGAGATCAACCATTACAGTGTTTGTACACTGGCATTATTAGTATTTTCAGCAGGATTTTTCCATTACACAGGAGTTACCAGATATCATTATCTAAAAGATAACTCATTAAGGATATAAAATGACAATATTAATACAAATAAGTAATGCAATAAATACAAGAGTAAACTCTTAGAAAACTCACAACTATAAACCTACTTTTTGCCCACCCTGTATAGGACGGTAATGGGCATTGCAATGCCAGTGACCTTAAGTTCCAATCCTAGCAGCATACCACAAATACATATACACACTTGCCTGCTCTTCCTCCTAATCTTTGTGACAATGCCAACCACGAAATATACTTACAAATATTCCCCAGGGGGTGAGGGGAAAAGCTTCACCACCACAAGCATCCCCCCATTCATAACAATCCCCTTGATTGAAGGTAGCACAAAATAAATAACTGCTAACAGAAACTAGAAAATCTTTCAATAGCAAAATAGTCCACAGCTAATACAGGAATAATATAAATTCTAAGGGTCATAAATAATGGATTATATGACACTGGCCTGTCAATTCCCAGTCAGGAAAAGTAGTGTGTGCAGGAGGCAGCTGATTAATGTTTCTCTCACATCAATGTCAGTGTCTCTCTCTCTCCCTCTCCCTCTTTCCCTCCCTTTCTCTAAAATCAGTAAAAAAAATTATTTTTTAAAATACAGAAATGTCAGGAAATACACGGGGGAAAAAGAGCTTATATTCTAATGATGAGACATAAGCAAATAACTTATACAATCAAGAAATAATTTTAGAGGGGGTGAAGGGTGGGGTAGGAACCTGGTGGAAGGGGGAAGAAATGAGGAACCTTTGTAATAATATGAACTTTAATAAAGATTGATTTAAAAAAAAAAAAAAGGAATAATTTTAAATACAGTTAGCATTTTATCAAGTTCATAAATAATGTCATCATGGGGCAGCTGGGTGCTTGGTGCTCAAAAGTCAAAAAAGGCCTAAGAAGACTTGATAAGAAGGTAGCAGTTGTGATAACTGGTTGAAGTGTTAGAAAACAGGACACCAGAAGGTAATCTTGAGATGCAAATAGAGCATATGGGCAGGACAAAAATGGCAAAGTATAGATGGAAGGATAATAAAGAGTAAAAGGAGAAAGGTTAAGAAAAAACGTGAGAAGACAGAATCTCTTTTGGAAACCATTATTAGAGTTTTCAGCATGGGAATATATCTAGTTAACAATAGGCACTCCTAAGCAAACCCAGTATCAAACTAAAGCAGTATAACCTCCCTAAGCCACCCAGCCTATTTATTCTTCTGCAAAATGAAAATAAGTTCATGTACCTTGAAGAATGGGTTGAGGTAGAACCCAATATAATAAAAGCTTAATATGTTAAGCGTTCAGTTGTCTGTTCAACCAATCAAAGTGTGATTTGCTAATGATATGTTAAAGCCACTCAACTACTTGTTATGATGTACATTGACCACCAGGGGGCAGACACTCCCACCATTAAGTTTAGCTTGCTGCTGGGGGTCCAGCCTATCAGGATCCAGACTGAGCAAAACTGGCTGGACATGCTGGTGGGGTCCCTTAGGCCTGACTTGCACCTTCTCACAAACTGGGACCTCCTTGGGGGATGTCCAAGAACCGATGTTTTGGTCCAATCGCGCAGGCCAGGCCAAGAGACCTGGCCCTCTAGTTTCAAGATAAAAATGGAGCACTTAGCACAGCTCCTATGCTTTAAAAAGCATTCAGGTGGTAGCTATTATTCAGGTGGTACCTTTCCACAAATTTAATTCTAAATTATCATCATTTGGGGATTAATTTTTTATTCCCTAAAATCCAAGGCATCAGATATTGACTGAAAATGAGGTCATTTAAGTTTGCAATTGCTTCTAACTGCATGCCTCTTCAGCAATTAAAGTCTAACCCATTTTTACAAATAATTCAGATGCAAATTTAAAATCTACAATGCTTTTAATCTGTGGAGGAAAATAATTGCTGAATTACCCTAAAACTGGTTTGTCTCAGTGGATAGAGCATTGGCCTTCAGACTGAAGGGTTGGTCCCAGGTTCAATTCTGGTCAAGGGCACATGCCCAAGTTGTAGGCTCAATCCCCAGTAAGGGGTGTGCACGAGGCAGCTGATCAATGATTTTTTGTCATCATTGATGTTTCATATCTCTCCTTCTCCCTTCCTCTCTGAAATCAGTAACACCCACACGCACACCTACACACCCCCCAACCTCATCCAAATCAACTTGTGTTTTATATTTTAGAATTTTTAATTTCCTCAAAAGTCTAGTCTCTTCTTTTACTGCTAAATTAAGGCAAATTTCTCAATTTTATTATCACCATAATCCTAGTCACATTGAAGTGTCTTTTATAAAAAAGCAATGATATGTTCAATTCATCCCAGTAGATATATACCACTATCACAAAGAATATATTTTAAAAGCTTCAAAATAAAATGCCAATCCTCCTATCCATCAGACAGTAATAAAAAATAAGTATGACCCAGCCAGTGTGGCTCAGTGGTGGAACGTTGACCTAAGAACCAGGAGATCACGGACGGTTCAATTACGTCAGGCACATGCCCAGGTTGCGGACCTGATCCCCAGTGTGGGACGTGTAGAAGGCGGCCAATCAATGATTCTCTCTCATCAATGTTTCTATTGCTGTCTCCCTTCCTCTCTCTAAAATTCAATAAAAACATTTCCTTACAAAAATTAACCTTTAGTACCTTCAACTATCAAACAAAGGAATTTCAGTCACAGAACTTAATAAAACTAAATTGAAGGAGAGTTATATAAGCCATAATTTAAAACATTTAAATTCTTTTTTAAAGTTAGAAACATCACAAGGTCCTCGACTAGTAACTTGTATTTTTAAATCAAGCATTGCCACTTATCACAAAATCATTTTATTCATAAACTAGAAATTTATCATCACAATGTTTTTGTGAAATTTTTGAAAAAGGGATGGCCAAACTCTGGGAGTCCTACCTACTACAGTTATTTTCTTAAACTTTAACCTTCCTATAAATTATAAACAATAATTACTAAGCCAGATGTTTCATAGAACCAGGAATTCTACCATACTACCATATAGATCCCGAGTCTGATCAACTAACTACATGTGCGAATAAAAGACAGGCACAGTCAGAAAAAAAAAAAAATATGGCTTTAAGGATACTGCATGTGAAGAATGAAAGGGGGGGGGGGGGGGACGACTTACCAGTTTAACAGCCTCCTGAGCTGCTTCTTTTGCACAAAAAGTGACAAACGCATAACCTCTATTGAGACCTGTGAGTGGATCCATCATTAGACGAAGATCCCATATAGGTCCAGCTTTCTCAAATAATGGAACAAGTTCATCCTCAAATAGATCTCTTGGGATCTTCCCCACAAAAATCTGTAAATTAAATATGAAGTAAAAACCATGGAGAGTTCCTTTAGGAAACCAGACACTTGTCCATTTACCACAAAAAGTACAAGTTTTTAGTTTCTTTACCTCAGTGCCAACAGAAGGCTGCTGACCTGAATAAACGGAATCTGGAGGTGGTCCCCCATATTTCCTCTGTCCAGTGGTCACATCAAGTGTGTAGCCTGTTCTTTCCAAGAGTGCCTTAAAGAATTCAAATGTCATTAATACATTTAATTCACAAGACCACACTTGCATATAGCAGTTAAAATTTGAAATAAATCTTGTTCAAATTTTCCTCTTTATCTTGGCAACATTCCTACAAATAGGTTTCTGGTATCAGTTTTAGAATTTCTCCTTTAATATACACTTGTAATAGCCCTAATTTATAGTGAAAAATCTCAAGATCCTGTTCAAATTATTTGTTGGTCTCTAATTATTAAGTGTGCTTAATAAACAACAAGAAACATATTAATCCACCAACAACTTCCAGGGCATGGTATACGTATTCTAATACCTCCTAAAAAATGACTGCACTGCCCTGACTAGTTAGCTCAGTTGCTTAGGAGCATTGTCCGGATATGCCAAGTTGTAGGTTCCATCTCCAATCAGGGCACATAAAGCAACAGTCAATGGAAACATCAATGAGAGCAATAGAATCTTTAAAAATAAAAATAGGCTGCCGAAGCCGGTTTGGCTCAGTGGTAGAGCGTTGGTCTATGGACTGAAAGGTCCCGGGTTCGATTCCGGTCAAGGGCATGTACATTGGTTGCGGGCACATCCCCAGTAGGGGGTGTGCAAGAGGCAACTGGTCGATGTTTCTCTCTCATCGACGTTTCTAGCTCTCTTATCTCCCTTCCTCTCTGTAAAAAATCAATAAAATATATTTAAAAAAAAAATAGGCTGAGTTTAATTCGCCCCTGAGGGAGATGATGAATAAATTACATCTCCCAAATCTGGATCTCTTATCCAATAAAATCTCTATATCCCACACTCCTAGTACACATTGCCATTGTGGGCATGTTGCCAATCTTTATAGAAATTATACTCCTCAAACTAATTAGTTAAGTTCAGAAACTTAGGAGCTACAGGAAAAACTTATTTATTTTTACACTCAATACTTCACAGAATAGCATGGGTCAGAAAAAAATAAAAAAGCCAAATGACTTTGAAAACTTTATAAAATTGTAATAGTTTAAAATAACTTCTACATTTTATCTCTCTGAAAGTGAACTGTTAAAATTTACACTCATATTTACTTAGAGCATTAGGAGTTTCTCTTCATCCCTTATTATAAGCAAAAGTACTAGGAAAGTAGTAGTCCATGGTTACCCTAAGGAAAAAACCAAGAATTATTCCCCTTCACCATCTCAAAGTGCAAAGCACAAAACCAGTTTTCCAAATAAAACCAATCTGATAATTAGCTAATAAGTTGTGAAATAAAAACACACCAGGCACATAACTTAGCAAAATTCTGTTCAATAATTTGGGATCACTTGTCTCTGAAAATGACCAGACACATTTAAACATTTTCTACTCAAAGAACATTAAGTGAAGAAATATTGTAAATGACGAAAACTCCTCTATTCCTAAACTTTAAAAAGCACTATATATTTTAAGCAGTCTTTTTCTATAATACCCAAATGTTTGCTTGAGGGTGCAACACTGGGTTAGTAACAAAAATAAACTCAAACCTATTACTATCACATAAACTAAACCATTAGCTGGCTCATCTTCCCTTTTTTTCCCATATGTAATCCCTGTGCTTCTTATACCTTAATTTTTATATATGACTCAAATAATACCTTTTATGTCAATCCCCAAAAACAAAAAGGAAAAACTTATTCCTTATTAAACCACCTATAAAAATGCTTTTGCCTTCTAACAACTTAAGCTACAGTAACACTTTAAGCTACTCCCTTCCAAAGATAGAAAAGTCATACAAATTACACTCGAAACTTTTTATAAAATTTTAATAAGTCTAACTCCCAATGTAGATTTAATTACATTGGTAAAATTTCTATGGAAAAGTTAGATTTACAGTTCAAACACAATTCACTGACAGCTAGACCTGTGAAAGCCTCAAATTTATGGATGCCCTTAACCACTAACTCTATATTCAAAGCTCATTCTTCCCACACCATTAAACACCACTTAACACCACCTAACACCTAGACTGTTTTAATAACTGATTTTCTTAAACTCTTGGTTCAAGAGCACTGGCACACTATATTAAGAACACCAGGTAAGCCCGGACAGTGTAGCAGTGGTGGAGTGTTGACCTATGAATCCGGAGGTCCTGGTTAGATTCTGGATCCAGGCTCTATCCCCATAGAGGCGTGCAAGAGGTAGCCAATCAGCCGAAACCGGTTTGGCTCAGTGGATAGAGCATCGGTCTGCAGGCTGAAGGTTCCCAGGTTCGATTCCGGTCAAGGGCAGGTACATTGGTTGTGAGCACATCCCTACTGGGGGGTGTGCAGGAGGCAGCTGATCGATGTTTCTCTCTCATCGACGTTTCTAGGTCTCTATCCTTCTCCCTTCCTCTCTATGGGAAATCAATAAAATACATATTAAGTTTTTTAAAAAAGAGGTAGCTAATCAATGGTTCATCATAGATGTTTCTACCTCTCTCCCTCACTCTGAAATAAATATTTTTTAATGAAATCAATAAAATTAAAAAGCAAAAGAACACCAGATTAAAACTATTATGATCACCACACCCACACAAAAATCAAAACCTAAATGACTTTGAGGACATGTACTATTTTATAGGACCTTAAAAAAAAAAAATCCTCCCACTCCTTTCATTTCCATGCTGCTTTTAGGAATGAACAAATTAGTCATGATAACAAAGGGGGGGGGGGGGAAGGCAGTATTAAAATTCTAAATACATTTCATTTGAGGGCTTGAGAATCCTAAGAGAAGGAGTCAATTGCTAAATGTGCACTCTTCATCAGCTTGGGCTGAACTGATCCCCTTCCGATTTGGTTCTTCGGTCAGTAAACTGGACTTGCAGATTTTTAAAAACCATCCAAAATATGGTGGATAGATTTTTTTTTTCAATCTTTTATTTAGAATACCAATAGCATCAGTATAGCTGGGAAACAAACAAAAAAACAACAACCCACAACCTTAAAAACAGCGAATTGTTTTAAAAAACCAACAGTTAAAAGGCAGAAAACTTTCAAAAATAGTAATTAGGAAAAAAATGCAAATTATCTCATGGTCATTAATTTTCAATTAACTTAAAAAAACTCATTTCACATCCACAGAATATTTAGCAAAGCTATAAAATAGTTAAAAGAACTTTAAAACTGAAGGGAGCAAAGTACTTTTTTAAGACATACCTTAATTTTTGCCTCATCTGGTCCTTTGCTAGAATCGGCTACTTTGGTCCCCTGTTTTTCTCTCTGCCTATAAGTCTTCATGACTCCACATAAAAAGGCACTTTTGTTCTGAAAAGTAATTTTCCAATTCTATTTAATTATGCCATCTGTATCTTATTAAATCAAACTTAAACTACTCAATATTTTTATTCTTTTCATGCTGACATTAAATTATTATTACCTGAACATGAGAGAGATCACTGTCTTTAAACTGCTGAAGAACTGCCAATGCCCCGTCTTCATTGAATTCCTTTAAAGCTTCGATAGCTCTTTCATCTAAATCACTATGTGCAACCAGCCCTGGAAAAGAAAAAAAACTTAATTAGTTGTCCACTTTCAGTATTTTTGGAAAGATCTTTTTTAAAGAAAATACCAGATTTACCAATAAAAGTAGCATGTGTGCCAACTAAGTATTCTTCCATTCCTCTTAGAATCTACTTAATGACAAACACATACTTTAGCCATTCTGAAACTGCACTCTGAACTAAAGAAGCCCTCTCAACCACACTTACAATAATGACTCAATTTCTTTTAGACCTTGTTCTCAAAGTCAGTTCTGAATACTAAGTATTTCTACAATAAATATACAAATCCTAAAATCAACCAACAAAAAACCAAGGCTGACAACTGAACCTCTACCCATTTCAAATAGCCACTAGAAAAAGCAAAAGCCACACCAATACAGACAACCAGTCTACAGTTACCAAATTAATTAGGAAGAATCCTACTTTAAAAATACCCCCAAAAGTCACATGGCCTGTTCCCAACAGTTAGCAGCTGTTGCAACCATCATATACTTATCCACCTGGCCAGCCAGCCTTTATTTACCTGCTAACCTTTCTATTTTCCTTCCCTCCCTCTACTAGGTACAGTACACCTTAACCTCTACTTCACAACTATCACAACAAGGCAAAGCAAAACTCCAGTTCCCACACTTATTGGAAACCACAAAAAGTTGCTCTTTTAGCTCAAAGCCAGAAATCCAATAGAAAAATTTCATAATATAATTTTGCAAGTGTTAGTTCTTACCTGCAACGTAAATTTCATCTAGTTTTTCAGCAACTTTCTGTGGTAAACCAGCATCAAGCAATGTCTGAAAATTTTCTGAATGGATAACTGCAGAAGTAGTATCCATGGGCTCTTCAGTACCATTTCCATTAACATGTTCTGTAGCCATGTTTCCAGAGATCTGTTCAAACGCAATAAGCAAAATTAAACTAGGATCTTTAAAAAAGGGTAGAGGACAAAAATGAGAGCCCCAATCTTTCCTTTCTCTACCAAGTTCTACACCAGCCTGCGCCTCCCTTTAAAGAAGCCTTCAAGTCACTTATCGCCTGACAAGCCTGATGATGAGCGAGGGGAGGGGGAAAAAAAAAAAAAAAAAAAAAAAGGATTCACTTGTTCTTCCTTAGCACCACCCCTGGCTCACCTGCTAACACTCCCTAGGAAAAACGACATTACAAATGGAGCCCAATCAGCTGAGGACCAGCCAGCGCGCCACAAGCAGCTGTGCCCGTACAGAGAATGAGGTGCGTGCGGGTCAGGCAGCCAAAGCCCGGCCTCTCCCTCTCCAAGGTAAACCCCCAAAGTGCGCGCTTTTCCCGCCTGCCGCTTACAGATCAGTATAACCACAGCTAGCAGCGAAGAACAAAGCGCTCACACCAGACACCTTCCCACCCACCACCCCGTCTCTCCCCACCCTTCACCCCCGCGCCCCAGAGCCCGCCCCCGGCTCCACACCCAGAGTGGCAGCCTCACCGCTCCGGGCAACAGGAGCCCATGAGGAACACGTGCTCCGCGCCTTCAAATGTCCTACAACTTCCTCCAACGGAAACCCACCGAGGAGTCAGCCCCAGGCCAAAGACGACCGACCACCGGCTTCCCAACATCAACCCGAAGCCGCGGGTCCGAGTTCCCGGAAAGCATCAGCAGCAGCAGCAGCACAACCTCTCACCCCTCTCGACACCGATGCCGCGTCGGCGACAGGCCACCGGACCTCCCCGCCCCCCTCCCCCACCACCGTGACACATGGCTCCCTCCGCCCCGGCGGCCGCCGGCGACCCCCGGCCGCCCGCCCGCCCGCCCGCCCCGACAAGCCGCCAGCCCCCCGCCCCTCCCCGGCCCGCAACGGCCACGGCGGCGCCCGTCCAGCTGTCCCACCCCCGGGCCGGGGCCGACAACCCGGCGGCGGCGTTCCGCGAACTGCCCGCCGCCCCGGCCGCGGGACGGCACCGGCTCCTCTCCGCCCACTCCCGCGCCGCGGCCACAGCCACGACGGCACCAACGCCGCCGCCGCCGCTCGCGGTCCGCGCGGTCACGGGAGCGTCGCCGCAGACAAAGCCCGGACGGCGGCGGGCACATGGAGCGGAGGAAGTGGCGGCGCGGGCCGCGGCCTGCTCCCCGGCAGCCCCGGCCAACCAACGTGCTCCTGTCCTCCTTGGAATCCATTTTCCAGAAAAGCCGGTTTCTTCCCCCCCCCCCACGCCGCCCTCCCCCAGCCCCGCTCCACAATGTCACACGGAGCACCCCCCCTCCCGGACCCGGCTCCTGGCGGTCGTTACCTCCCCGTTGGGCCGCGGCGGAAGAATCCTGTCCGAGGAGATGGGGTCGCGGGAAACGCGTGCTCGCTGCTCCCTGTGTCCAGCGCGAGTGGAGCTGTTGTAAAATGGCGGCCGAAGCTCACGCCGCTGGCAGCAAACCCGATCCAGTTCCACTCGCCTCCGAGCGCGCTCCCCGTGCGCGCGCGCGCCCCCGCGTGACCCCCCCTTCCCGGCCCTCCCTCCCCTCCTGGCGCGTCCGCTCCTCTCACTCACTCCCTCAGCCCCTGCCCTCCTCCAGCTCCTCCTTCTTCTCCCCCGACCACCGCCGCCGCCGCCGCCGCCGCCGCCGCCACCGGCCTCCGTCCGCCTTCTCCCCTCAGCCTTCCTTCCTTCTTCCCTCCCTGCTCCTTCCCCCACCGCTCCCGCTCCCGCCCGCGGCCGTTCGGATACGACTGGCCGCCCTTCCCCGCCTCGCTCGCTCGCTCGCACGCTCGCTGGCTCCCTCGCCCTCGCTCTCTCGGCCCCGTCCCCCGTCCCCGCCGAGTCCGCTCCTCTCTTTCTCTCTCCCGCGCTGACGTGACGACGTCGCCGACGCCTCGGGACGCGCGCCTCGAGGCCCCGCCCCGCCGCCGCCTCCGCTCCTCACGCCCGGGGGGCTGGGGGCCGCGAGACCCCGCCCTTCCGCTCCGGCGGCGGCGGCCGAGGGGCCGAGAGTGAATGAAAGGCCCGCCCCTTCCCCTCCCGGCGCCCCGCCCCCCGCTCCCCTCCCGGCGGGGCGGGGCGGGGCGGCCGGCTCGGCGTGTCCCACTCGTTCTCCTTTGTCAGGAGACAGGCATCTCCCCACCCCGCCCCACCCGGCCCCACCGCACCCCACTCCCTCCGCCGCGACCCGCGCGCGCCGCCGCCCCACCCCTGGCCGTGTGTCCCCAGCCCGCGAGGCTCCGGGCGGCGCCTCCGAGCGCGGCCGCAGCTCCCCGCGTGGCGGGCAGGCACCCACCGGTTCGTGCGCGCCGGACCCGCCCCGGCGCCGCGGCTGCTCAGCCGTTCCGAGCGGTGTCCACGCCGCCGCCGCCGCCGCCCCACGCGCTCCTCGCCGGGGAAGCTGCGAGCGCACGTGTCTCCCGGGGCGGGGCGAGGCAGACAATGGGGCGGCGGGGGAGGGGAGCGGCGCGGGGACCCACGGGCTCGAGGTCAGCCTGGCCGGCGGCACCCTGGCCGGGAGTCGCTCCGGGGGAACCCGGCCTCCCCCGCCGGACAATGAGGCCTCCCTCCCGGGGCCCCGCGCCGCTGCACTTTCTCAGGAGGGGCGTCGGCGGCTCCGGCTCGGGAACCCCTGCCGCCTGGGAGGGGGCTCGGATTGGCCCAGGCTTGGGGTGACTCCAAGGCCGGATTTGGGGGCAACGCCACCGATGAAGGGCCGCGCGGTGCTCCGTGTCAGTCCCGGGCCTGCTGGGCAGTGAAGGGCTTCCCCCGAGCAACTCGAAGCCCCAGAAGCTGCATGGTCAGAGCAGCTGTGAGGAACATGTCTGTTTCTTTTTCAAAAATCTTGGCCACTGAATCTTAGGTGAAGTGACATTTCCTTTGTAACCGGCTTGCTGGTTACACGAGAGACAAGACAAAGGCATTTGAATTTCACACGCGAGATGGGTAATCATGTTATCCAATGCCGCTCTCATGGAAAATAGTAGTGCCCTATTGATTTAAAAACAAGCTTATTTTCGAGAACTCGCTGGTTCCCTATATAAGCTCTATGCTATATGGCAGATGGGTGGTTCGAGGAAAAGTTATGCGAGCACTGTGTAAAGTGCCTGAGCATCAAATGCCAGATTGTGTTCATAGGTTTCTGTATCAAAACATGGAATACTTGACGAAAGTATTAACTGCACAAGACGTTTAGTTAACAAGCATCTGAAATACCCACTACCTAAAACCACAGACAGGTACCTGCTATGGTATTCAGGAAATTCAACAATTTACCTCATAATCCCAGTCATAGGTAATATTATAAATGAAAGACAAATAGCCAAAATGTTTAACATAAAATGTGATAAACTAGAGTAATCCTATAGGTTAAAAAGTGAAAATAATAGATTTTGACAATCCAACACTTTTTATTTAGCCCTTCCTGGGGAATCAATGTTCCTATTACCCTAGGCAATGCCATCTACCAGGTGATTAAAGAATCCCAATGTAAAACCTCTAGCTCTAATTTCTTTGTCTAACCACCCCATAGACTTTTATTTGGACACACACCCTGGTCGGTGAGCTCATTGGTTAGAGCCTTAGCCTGCGCTTGGAAGGATTGCAGGTTCATTCCCAGCCCAGTCAGGGCATGTGCAAGAGACAACCAATCAATGTGTGTGTGTGTCTCTCCCTCCCTCACTCCATTCATGCCTCTATCCCCCCTTTCACTCTTTCTAAAAACAATTTTTAAAAATCAATGGGAAAAAATTATTGGGTGAGGACTAATAAAAACAAACACTGAGCATATAATCTTCTAATCTTTCATCTTCTGAATTCCCATCTCAAGGAACATCACCCACTTGCGTCTAGAAGTATTACCAGGAAACCCAAGAATCCATCCAGGATTCTCCCTCAATGTCAGATCAAGTCCTGTTAATTTTGTCTCCCTAATGTACTTATCTCAATGTTGCACAGGGCAGCATCATTTATCATCTATATATTTATATATATAAAAAGCCAGCGACCAAAAGGCCAGATCGACCAGAATACCCAGTTGCAATGACACCTGAGGCCAGCAAAACAGCCCAATGTTGGGGGAGGGGGAGCCCACCAGCCAACTTCCTGCAACCCCTCCCCCAGCCACTGATCCTTGATTGGCCCCTCCCACCGCATTTGGGGGTGGGGCTGGTGGCCCACCGCCCACAGCCCCTTCCCATGGCCAGCCCTGCTCCCAATCAGGGGTGGGGCCCACCGACTAATCGCCCATGGCCCCTCACCCCAGCTGGGGTGGGCCCTGATCAGGGTGGGCCGTCCAGCCAACCTCCCATCCTCTCTGCCCTACAATGCCCGGCCCAGATCCACCAATTGGGGCCAGGTTGGCCGGACCCCAACTGTGCACAAATTCATGCACTGAGCCTCTAGTCCTATATAATAAAAGGGCAATATGAAAATTGGCCCTGAAGGCAGATCGACCAGGAATGACCAGTCACTATAACATGCATTGACCATCAGGGGGCAGGCACTCAAAGCAGGAGGTTCCCCCTGGTAGTTGGTGCACTTCCACAGGGGGTGCACTGATCAGCCAAAGCCTCCTCTGTGGCATTCAGTCAGACATCCCTCAAGGGCTTCTGGATTGGACTGTGAGAAAGCACAGGCCAGGCTGAGGGCCACCTCCTCCCCGCAAGTGCATGAATTTTCATGCATCGGGCCTCTAGTATGTTTATAAGTGAAAAAAGAAGTAGTGAAGGCCCCATCATTTACCATTTGAACTAATGATATAGCCTCCTGATTCATCCACTCTTAACAGCTTTCCTAATCCATTCAAGCTCCGCCTCCTCTTCCCTCCTCTCCTCTCTTCTTCCTCCTCTCACCCCAGAAGACCCTACCTAAGACTATTAGCTTTCCATTACACTAAGAACAAATGCCAAGGTATTTAAATAAGTCAACAAAAAAC